TTTGGGAATGACGGTGGAAACCTGATCGAGGAGGCGAGGCTCAACACCGGCGGGATCGTTGGAAGATGAGCGAAGCAAGGCACGTTCGGGGTAGGAGATTCGGTGGTTCTTCCCAATCTCGAACTGGATTCTCTGGTAGTTGAGAGGGTTGGTTTTTTCCTCGGTGGGCGAAACTGGGTCAGGTTCGGGAAAAGGGTCGGGTTGGGGGTGGGGGCGTGGTCGACCCTAATTTCTTGGATCTCCTTGGAGACGTCGGGGATGGAAACGGGGTTGGCTTTGGAGCGCTTGAAGGCCACCCAGACGGAGATAAGGAAGAGGATGAGGACGATGGTGGCGCCGACACACACGCCGAGCACCACCTAGTGACGTAGACCAAATATGGAGGTGGGGTTGGAGAGCTGGTCGTTCAATGCGGCGCCGCTCGACTGATCGGGCAAGACCGGCGAGACCTGGGAAGGCTACCCGATTTGGAGTCAGAGGATCCATAGTACCTGCAGCCCCGCGGACTTCATCTTCATCATTTTTGAAAGCGGGGAGTTAGAGGATCCTTGGCCCATGTGTTGTTCATTCCTTCCTTCCTCCAGCAAAGACGAAACTAGATAGTGAAAAAAAGTACAATAAGAAGAAGCAGAACAAGGAGAAGAAGAAGAAAGGAGAGGGGTGAGGAATGGAGGCGGTGGTAGCTGGCATGGTGGAGGCGCGGTCCAGCAGTGCAGCAGTCGCGGTGGCTGGAGAAGAAAGGCCAGTTTTACGCAGAGAGAAGAAAGAGGAACAACAGTAGCGTAAAAATGGTTTAACCTGGAGATAAAGCACATCTAATGCCTCGGTTAATACAAAAACGGAGCCATAAAAATCACGGACAACACCTATCGCCTCGGGTCCCAAGCTGACCGAGGCAGTAGAGCAACTTTATACTCTAGATTTTTGTTAACCGATGCCGTATCATGTGCACAGATGTCCGGATGTGTCAGATGCTCAGAAGTGACAACACCTATTGCTTCGGGTCTCCAATTGACCGAGGTAGTAGAGCAGAATTCAAATTGTTAGGCATCGGTTCGTTGTGAACCGAGTCATAAAAATTCACTTTATTTACAATTCTGCCACCGTGTTTTAATAGGTTTCGGTTTCACTAAAACCGAGGCCTATTAATCGATTTTAAATCTAGTTTTTTTACTAGTGTGTTTATAGACTTGGATAAACATGAACATGATTCAATTAACTAATTACCTTAATTAACTTTGCTTAATACTATATTAATATGTTTTAATTTTTGTCTTAACTTAATCTCATATGGTCAATGTGATCATTTATACGGTGTTGGTATGACAAAATATATCTAAATCTACATTTTATAACTTGTTAAGAAAGCTAATTTTAATGATACCAATTTTAAAAATTAATATATGATCATTGAATGAATATTTGCTTAATAAAAATTAATATAAGAATAAGTATGAATTCAATGATAAAATAAAACTTCATTTAGTAAGATTTTCTTGTATATATCTTTAAACTGGCATATATAAACATGAAATGTTAAAAATAATAAAAATTTAATATATAATATATGATTATACCTTAAACATTAAAGATTCTCACAAAAATATATCTAATAACTTTTGATTAATAATTTAATTATAAAAATATTCAAGATATTTGAAAGTTTGCAGTAATACATATATATAAGTTTTCAATTATGAAAAATTGTTAAAAGTTTCATATTAATTAAATATACCAAATTAATTTATCGTTTATAAATAAGAATATATTTTATTTTATAAACTGTTTTCATAAATTTTAATTAAATTAAAACTTTATTATTTTAATATGAAATTAAAACATGTTTTAATTTGATTTGTTGTATTTATCGTGTTATTGTTAATGAAAATAAAAAGGTTAATTTATAAATGAATTATTTTACAAATTTATTTTTCTAAGATGAGTTGGACTAAATTTTAATATTGTTAATAAAAATATCATATGTCCAACATTTATTAAATATTTAAAAAATTATTACATAAATAATTACAACCGGCAGCCTATCTTTCTCATTATGTATTTCATCCTTCACTCAATTTCTTTATCATTCCAACTCGATAAAAAAAAAGAATCAGTCCACTTATTTAGTTTGTAATCTTCCTCTGAACTCTCTTATTATAAATTTTTATATTTTAGTGTCTATTGATTTCACCTTATTTGTTCCTTTTCTTTCATTTTTTTATTTGTTTATTACTTTCTCTTCCATAGGATATACTTTTGGAAGTTTTAAACTTTGAATTGCATACGATTAAAAGATTGTCAGTGTTATTATTTTATGATTTAGAATCATCATAAAACAACATGAAATAGTGCATGTAAACCCGTTTTCAACATTGTTAAACTATCACAAATTGAATTTGTGAGATTCCAAATAACATAACCTCTACGTCACAACGCCCATCAGCTTTCCAAAGGGGCTCTTTTCTTTTCTTCCTTTAAAGCAACTTCCCTTTTTTAGTTCTTAATCTTCTTTCTTCCATATTTTACTCAACTTGAGATTAGGGTTACGTCCACAGCAAAGAATTATGAGTTTATATGATCAATTTTTCTATTTGAGTAAGTAAAATTTTTGGTCTCTTTTAATATTCAGTTAATTTTTTTTCTTGTATGTAACTTTTTGTGGGTTACGTACATATATTCTTAAAGTCCTTGTTAATTCTCTTTTAATTGGTGATTCTTGTGTTAATTATTGTTGGAAAATGTTAGGGTTTTAGAATTGTAAAATTGTGATTTTTTGAATATGTGACTATGAACAATGTGTTTGAGATGTTAAATTGATGTTTGAATTGTGTATTATTTATGAATATGTGTAAGATCATGGTTAGTATATAGTGAGTTTGTGAAAATTTTAGAATTAATTGTTGAGTTATCGAAACTTTCTTTATGAAATTTGAATTGAATAATATGATATCGATTGAACTAACACTACAAAAATATATGATTTTATTAGGATTTTTTTTATGCGTTACTAACCATTTTAACCCTTAGTAAATACATTTTTTGGGGTTGGGAAAATCCCTGGAATAATCCCGTTGGCTTGGCGGTTTTATTCATAACCGTCGCTATTTTTGGAACTTTTACAAAATCGTCGTCATTTTACAGAGTTTTACAAAAATCGCCGTCGTTTGCGGAGGTTTTAACAAAAACTGTCGGTAAATGCTGGAATTTCAAAAACCACAAAACTTACTTGGGTTATCAAAATCACGAGAATTTTAAGATTTAAGTAGTTGGAGTTTCCAAAATTGTCAGTAATATAATAATTTAATTTTTTTCATGATTTAAATTATTTAATTTTTTTCATGATTTAAATTATTTAATTTTTTTCATGATTTAAATTATTTAATCATTATAACAAATGTTTTAATAATAAATCAGAATAAATATATGAAACCAAAATTAAATATTATTATATAAAATAAATTATAAATGTTCGAAATACAATTAATTTTTCAAAAACTAAAAATCACTCAAAAGCTCCCTAACTTTATTACATAATTTTTATTTTAACCTCTACTAAAATTTAATATTTTTGTAGTATAAGAAACACAAAACTTATGATGAAATGAAAATTGATTCAAATTACATCAATCAAACTCAATGAGAAGTGTGAGTTTTTCTATACTAATTATACTTACTTTTTTAAATATAATTACATTTAATAAGACAAGGAATCCAATAAAGATAAAGATAGTGGTGAAAATTTATATTTTCAAGTCCAGGATAGTAAAAAATAGGTTTAATCCTTTAGTACATCCCTATTTATGTACGAATGTCTCAATTGGGTCCTCGTTTTTTAAAGTGTATCAAAATGGTCCTTAATTTTGAAAATTCATATCAATTGAGTCCTTTCCGTTAAGTTGAGTGGATGGCGTTAAAAAAATTCATGAGTGGATGCTGAGATGACGAACGGACGCTCGTCCACCAGCGAACGAACGCTCGTCCACCAGAGAACGAACGCTCGTCCACCAGAGAACGAACGCTCGTCCACCAGAAAACGAACGCTCGTCGACCTCTTACTGCTGGACGACCGTTCGTTCCACACTGGACGACCGTTCGTTCGGTGGTCGACGAGCGTTCGTTCGCTGATGGACGAGCGTTCGTCCGCTGGTGGACGAGCGTCCGTTCGTCATCTCAGCATCCACTCATCAATTTTTTTAACGCCGTCCACCCAACTTAACGGAAAGGACTCAATTGATATCAATTTTCAAAATTAAGGACCATTTTGATACACTTTAAAAAACGAGGACCCAATTGAGACATTCGTACATAAATAGGGATGTACTAAAGGATTAAACCTAAAAAATATACTTTTATTATGTTATTATATGCAATCTCATATAATGATATAAAGTATTTTTATTTTTACAACAAAAAGTATAAATTAATATTATATAAAAGTGGTTCTTGTTAAAAATATTGAGAAACTTTATTAAGAATAGTAAAATAACATGCAATAAAATAATCACATATATGATGATGGTTTACAGGTAAAATTTGTTCAAGTTTCCTACTTTCTAAATTGAGTTAAAAAACATGTTTGTCCTTTTCTGATATAAGAAAGTGGTAATAAAGGGCTAATTTTCTCTTTGGAATTAATCCGCTAATAACCTCATCCTATTTTTTTCACGGAGCATGATAGTTTGACAGTTTCTATTTTATACCACTGTTTAACAACCATAAATATTATTATTTTCTATTAAAATTTTATTTATATTTACTTTTTTTAGTTAAATGTAATATTCTATTACTTAAAACAGTTATAAAATAGAGATAAGAGAAAAAAAATGGGAGTAAAATTATCTTCTATTTTTCTCACCGTCAATTCATAACTCAGCCGTCCTTCCCACTCACTTATATATATATTCCCACACCCCAATTCCCTAGCACCCAACATCTTCTTTTCTCAGCCACCTTAAAAAAAACAAAAAAACACAAAAAGTAATAAACAAAACCAAAAGACAATGAAACTCAACGTCAACTTCATCATCCTCTTCTCCATAACCCTTGCCCTATGCTTTGCAATATGCAAAGCGCATGACTCACCCACCGACGAAGAGCCTCAGTCCGAACCACCACCGACGGAGTCTACAGAGGACCAGGCAACGGGGGCCCCAGAATCGGAGGGCCCGGCATCGACTGACCCCGATTCGGCAGATCCGGCATCGGAGGAACCGTTAGTGGACCCGACATCGGCTAACCCGACATTCATAGACCCGTCGTTGGCTGACCCCCCAACAGATGACCAAGCATCGGCGGACGCGCCATCTGAGGAACCGATGACGGAACTCTCCTTGGACCCGATAAGAGATAGCCCTGCAATGAAGGACCCGGAGGAACTGTATGGGGACTTGAAATCTGCTAACCCGGAATCGGCGGACCCGCCATCAGAGGACCCGGAATCGGCGGACCCGCCATCGGAGGACCCGGCATCAGAGGGACCGGCGTCGGAGGACACATCATTCGCAGACGCGCCAACTGCGGAGTCGCCATTCTCGAACACCTTCGAGGAAGGCTTCTTTGGCGGGCGTGGCGGCGTGCAACTCCGCAAAGCGTTTACCTCGTTCTTAGGCGAAATCCGGGTGGGATCGTTGCGCGGGAGCAAGTCGATTACGATGCTCAGCCGCCACGACCGTGACTCTGTGAAGGAAATCTGCTCCCGCACGGACTACCCCGACGACTGCCTCTCCACCGTGGTGCCCTTCCTGGGCAACAACTTCGATCTCATGAGCGTCCTGGAAGCCGCCATCAAGGCCTGCTCCTTCCAGACCAACTTCACCATGTCCATTGTCGAGAAACACATGAAATCCTCATCGGAGATGGCCACCGCCCTCACTAACTGCAAGGAGCAGTATACCAACGCCCTCCAGAGCCTGCAGCAGGCCTTGACTGCCCTCACCTCTCACGACCTCGGCACCGTCACCGTCATGCTGAGCTCCGTGATGGCGGATGTCTCCACCTGCGAGAGCGGCTTCGAGGACCTCAAGTTGGCTACGGGTCGTGCTGAAGGCATGGTCAGCATGACGGTCAGCAACTGTCTCTCCATTGCTTCCATGATTCCCTCTTAGGGCATTGGTATCACATAAATATACATTATGGTATTTTTGTAAATAAAAGTTTAGTTGTGAAGCATCAACTAAAGACAAACATTTTTTTTTTTTTGTTTTATGGAATGGATGTATGAGTTATTCATTCACACTTCAAATGTATTTTTAGATGTTTAGTCCCCAAACAATATTATAGATTTAACGTTTCTTTGTATATATATTATATTTATATTAGGAGAATAAAAAGATTATAACCTTTTAGAAAAACCTGATATGAATTTTGTCTACAAATTAATTTATGAATAAATTAATTTTATTATTTACAAGAAAAATATTTTAATAAAAGTAATAGTTTATTTCTCATATATATCTCAGTTTACCTATCAACAAATAGAAAAATAAATCTTTCATATTTCTCCATTGAATATTTTCATAAGCAAAAAAATGTCCACCTTTATTTTTCACAAAATTTTCGCACACAGCTTTATTGTGAATAAATATTTATTGGATAAATTTATAGATAGATATTATAGATAAGTAATAAATTGTTGAATAGTTGATCACACATTTTATTATAATTTTTTTATGTTGATTTTACACTTGAGGTAGACAATGAAAGTGAAGTGTATAATCATGATGTTAATATGTTTGATATCTCATATATAAAATTTTCTGCAAAGATAGATTATCGTGTAAGGATCGTTATGTAGGAAATGAGATTTCTAGTTTATAACAATATTTTGCATTTGAATGAGATGAAACAACTTGGAAACCTCAAGTATTTTTTGGGTATTGAAATAGCTATATCAAAACATGGTATTTTTCTATGCCAAATAAAAATACTATTGACTTATTATCGAAAACTGGACTGCTTGGAAGTAAATGAATTGATACACCAACTAATAACAATAGCAATTTTAAAAGAAAAAAAATACAAAAGATTTATTATTATCAACCATGTTAACCACTTTTTATTTTTTATTATAATGAATTAGTTCAGTACGTTTTATAAATGAAGATCAAAGAAGTATAAAGTTTAAACTCAATGTTTTTACCTTGGGCATTTTCTTGGGGACTTTTTTAAGTGTTCGTTTTTAATTAATTATATATTTATATGGAAATGCACATTTTTTGTTAAAAAGTTTTAAAAATTAACATTAGACCAAACAAGCACAAAAATAACGCATTGAATTTAGGATAATGATACTTTAACAACATTTTTTTTGACAACATTTTAACATTATCTACGTATTATTCTATGATTGGTCTAAAATTACTCCACAATCAATAATAATAATCATAAACACCAACATGGACCAATCACAAAATGACATATAAATGATATTAAAATGTTGTAAAAAAAATGTTGTCAAAGTATCATTATTCTTGAATTTAAGGGTTAAGTCAATCTCTATGGTTAAAAGAAAAAACAATTTTTCGTTTGGTTTATATGGAGAGAAATAAAATAAAATAATTTACAAGTTTTTTTCTTCTGAAACATTAATTTTTATAGTCTATAAAATATTTAAAACTAATTTCTACATTGGAGACGGATTTTCTTTAGATTACATTAGAGACTAATCTTATTGTGAATTTCATTTGGATTATATTATAGACTAATCTTATTCACAAAAATCTAAATATTATTTATTTTTGTTTACTGATAGATAATTTATAGTTACTCAATTTAATTAGTCAAATGCAATTTTTTAAGAAAGAAGGTAAAAACAACAAAACTAACCCAGTTTAAAAGATAAGATAATTATTATACACACCTTAACACCATTTTTCTTTCCACTTAAGCTCCAGAAAACTCAGGTAAAATATTGAGCAAAAATTGTAAGCCCATTACTTCTTTAAATTTCTGAATGATTTTTTTTTAACAAAAATTCACTTCCTATAATTGAAGAGTAAAAAATGTACCAACGTTATAGGAATATTTAAAGTTAGTTTAATACATCATTTGGTCTCTACTTCTAGGGGTTTGGTTCAAAATGGTCCTACTTTTTGAAAAAGTTCAGTAAGGCCCATATTTTGTTTTAAAATGTTCAATTTGGTCATTTTCGTGGACGCTGTTAAAAACATAACGATGTTGCATCTGAGTGAGGTGTTATGTTGGATGATTACGTGACACTGTGAAGTGAAGTGTGGGTTCTTTTATTAAAATCAAAGAAAATTCTAATCTAAAAACGTTTTAAGAATCCTAAAGTGGAAATTAGAATCAGAAACCCTAAATTGGGAAAAAATCCCCAATCTTTTTATGCCTTCCTTCCTTTTTCACCAACAGTGCGTCATCGAACATGGCTAATCCTTTCACACTTTTAACCCATTGATCCATGGGTTTTTCCTCTCTCTATCGTGGGTTTCATAAAACCCCAATCTTGATCCCTTTTCTGGTGCGCCGCCATGTTTTCTATTGTTGAGCTCTCGCAAGCAGTGGTGATCATTGGAAACATAATGATTTTTGGTTGCGTTCGAAGTAATGGTGGTTTTGATTCTAGTTTTCTTACAGGTCTGGCGAGGCACTCTATTTCTTCTTTTTCCTAGCAGAAGCTCCCTTATACATTCACAACGGAGCTCTGTTTCAGGCAGTGACGATCCCTTGTTAGTGGTCTACGTAATCATGCATAAAAAGATTAGGGATTTTTCCCCAATTTAGGGTTTCTGATTCTAATTTCCACTTTAGGGTTTTTGATTCTAATTTCCACTTTAGGATTTTTAAAACGTTAGGGTTTTAGATTGAAATTTTCTTTGATTTTAATAAAAGAACTCACACTTCAAAATTGTGCCACGTAATCATCCAACATAACACCTTACTCAAATTTGACCACAGTGACATCAACACCGTTATGTTTTTAATGGCGTTCACGAAAAGGACCGAATTGAACATTTTTAAACAAAATATAGGACCTTACTGAACTTTTTCAAAAGATATGATCATTTTGAACCAAACCCCCAAAAATAGGGACCAAATGATATATTAAACCCTTAAAATTCTATGTACTTAAAGAAATCTCACGAGAAATGGTAATCCACTACTAGCAAAAGTTGATATTTGATAAAACGAAATATATATTTCACACGTATATAAATAAAAGGTAAAATAATATTGAATCTATACACAAGACATTGGGCAGCTTAGTTAGATGAAAAATGTTTCAACAGCAAGACAAACCTATATGGGCATAATCAGATTTACGATAACCAGACACTGATGATAAATTTCGGTCGATCCATATATATCAAGTTACACAGCATTTGGAAAGGGGAATAATAGCTACTCCACATGATAAAGTAGAAGCAAAGGGCGTGCTCCTTCTCAATTTATAGCAGGAGCACACCTATATTACCATAATTACAAATAGAGTATAACAAAATAAAAAATAAAAATAAAACCACCTGTGAGTCTAGAGATTAGAGAGCTCTCTATATTTCTATTCACTGCATAAGGCTAAGATCTTTAATATCTGAAACCAACATCAGCACACAAATGTCTCATGATCCATTGGAGAAAAGTGCCCCATGTTCGGTAGATTTAATGAACTTTTTGAGCAAAAGGACCACAATAGCAATAGCAAGTCCGATAGCTGCCAACGTGAACAGCCTATCATCAGGTTTCTGGACCCTTGTCTCTGGCCTGGGATTGTGAACCCTTGCAGTTGTATCTGACCTTTGGGGCAGCTCATTCCTTGAAACATTTGATTGAATCTCCCTTGATACTTCAACTCCTGCAGGGTTAGCATTTGCAAGGACTTCTTGTTCTTCAACAATTCCATCACCTTCTCGATCTGGAATCCTCTCTCCAGCTGGTAAGGACTCAGAATTAGGTGAATCAACTAGGGCCTCAGCCTCCTCATTTCTGGGGTGCTCATCGGAAGCCTCTGTTGCGCTTGGTTGAGGAACTGGGGGTGCCTTGCTTAACATGTACTCGTGTATCTGGGATAACCAAGTCCATTCAGCAGCACAATATATTACATAAAACGCAAACTGAGGTGAAAACAATAAGCAACATTTTACCTCATCAATCAGCTTTTGACGTTCAGGAGTCCCAAATTTAGGAGGACCTTCACGAGATTTTAGAGCCAGGGTACGCCTCTCTTCTTTCTTGTAGTCTAAAGATCCCAATGCACCATTTGGGTTGGTTGGCATGAAAGCAATCAGTGCAACTAGAGCAGTCCTCACTAGCAAAAGATATTTACATCAATTAAAATGAGACCTTTAGCCATCAAAGGAATTAACAGGACTCACCTTGTTATAAAGACAAGGCATTTAAGAAGTAAAAAAAAATGTAGCTAATGCATAAAGAAGAATGGTGAAAACAGTAAACATACATTCCCATTCCAGTTCTGCAAACTAAAAGAGCATTAAAATGCAACTACGTAGTTTGATCAGTGTTCTTCTGGTTGTATTTGTAATTATTTTACAAACCAATGTGATGATCTAAGACATGGGGAATCAATGCTATGCCAACTTTTATCCAGAGAAGGTCAAGTTATGTCCCAAAGCATAGAATGCTCCTATCTAGAAGACAATAACAATAATAATGGAAAATTATAAAGGACGCAGTCAAATAAATCAGGAAGTTTTATAACTGCAGATCAACAACTAAACAGTTTTAATCTTGTATAATCAGAATGGAAAATACATGACATTTATGAGAAAATAACCCAGACTCAATGGATAGCTTGCAAAATAGCAACCAAAAACAGAGTCGAGAGTAAAAAGGAATGTTATTTACCGCTCCATGATGGTTGCCAATGCTCAGGGTGATGATTTGAAATGCTCAAGCAAATCTTGGTTTGAGTCTCGAAACGACCATTAGGCTGACAACAAAAGTTAAATTTTTAAGCAAGGAATGATCTTTATTCAGTATTCAAACCAAGGATACACAAACTAACACAAGAATATAAATCAGGAGGAAGGGAGCAACATCTTACTGTCAACAACATAAACGAAGGGGGTTTGAATGGATACTCTGAAGGCAGCTGGATCCGTCCATGATAAATACCACCCTCAAATTC